AATAATCAATTTTAATATTATTAAAAAATTAAAGTTTTATAGAAATATAAAATAAACAATAGAGTAAGAGTAGTGTTTTAGTAAGTAAAAAATGTATATTTCAATCATTTCAATATTACATTAGATTAAAACATCTTTTATAAAAAATTTACTAAATAACTTTTTATTCTGAAAGTATTTTTAAACAAAATTTTACCAAATAATTTATACTTTGAAAAAATAAAAATTTTATAATAGATTCTTTTAAATAGAACTTTTATTAAAAACTTCAACCACATCAAATGGACTTAGCTTAAAAACCTGAAATGTATATTATATTACTATTGCCGGTGAATAATATTAATTTTGAAGTGTTAAAGTATAGTAATGATAAAAAATAAATACAGCCAAATTAACAGTTATTACTTATAGTTCATCAGAAACCAGAGCTTGGATCTCTTCCTGCCAATTGCCAATCGATTGTACTGAACTCCGCATTACAAAAGGACTCAATTTCAGCCATATATACCTAAAAATCAATTTATCTATAATGGGGAAAAAAAGTGCAAAGCCCTAATGAAAATTAAATGAAGTTCTTAGTCAAAAAAACTTACTAGGGATTTATTAGAGCTGAGTTCTTTTCTATTATGGTGATTCTTAGACAGGAACTCTCTTTTCTATTCACTTCAATCTTAAAAATTGTTTTCTTTTTAGCAACTAAAGCAATAAAGGATTGCAAATGATAGAAAAGAAAATGAAATGAAATAAAATATGGCTGTCTAGGTAGAAAAAAAAAACCTGAAAGAGTGGGAAACAGGCGGTAGAGGGCTGACGAAATGTTTTCCAATGGTCAAGTCAGCAAAGCAAAGGCACATGTTACAAAAATATAAGATTTCAAATTGATAACAGATTCACTATATGAAGTAAACATGCTCCAAAGAAACAACAGTAGAAATCCCATTAACATAACATACTTAATAATTGATGACAACTTACAACACAACAAATTACCAAAAGAAATAGAACCAAGTTAATCCAGTTAAAAAAAATACATAAATTGGAAAAAAAAAATAAGATTATTGTCACGTGAGTTCCGTTTTCTTT